AACCACGAACCGAACCTTCGAACACCGTCCTCTGACTGGCCTCAGGACCGAAAACCTAAACGACACGAAGATGTGAGGACCACAAAACGTCTCCCGAGCCCTCTGGGCGCCGACGCTGCAGCTACCTGTGTGAAGGTGAACCTCTGAGCCGTCTGTGGCAGAGACCGGTCCCCCTGCCTGCTGGGCTGACACGACCGGGGCGCCTTCAGGACCACCGTGTTGGAGCCTTCCATCGACACGCAGTCCTGCAGGAGAAACACGGCTGAGGCACGGCGAGACCAGGAACGTTATGGCAACTACAACATTTATTCATTCAGAGTAGAGTCAGGCTGCCAGCAGGGGACAGCAGAGCACACTAGTAATTCCTTAATACTGTTATCATTATTCTGTCGCGTACAAGTGGCTAAAATGAGTTTTCTCCGTAGTGTGTCTGGGCTCTCCCTTAGAGGGTCCTCTTAAGAGTCCTCCCTGAGTCATCCGGGGAGGACTCAGAGTAGAGCTGCTTCTCCTCCACATGGAGAGGAGCCAGTTGAGCTGGTTCGGGCATCTAGTTAGGATGCCTCCTGGATGTCTCCCTGGTGAGGTGTTCCAGGCACGTCCCACCAGGAGGAGGTCCAGGGGAAGACTCAGGACACGCTGGAGGGACTATGTTTCTCTGCTGGCCTGGGAGAGCCTTGGGATTCCCCCGGAGGAGCTGGACCAAGAGGCTGGAGAGAGGGACGTCTGGGCTTCCCTACTGAGGCTACTATCCCCGCGACCCGACCCCGGATAAGAGGAAGAAGATAGATGGATAGATGGATGAACTCATTAATAACCGTGTTTATTTATCTATATCTTGGGGTGATTACTTTCTTTTTTTTTTCTTTTTTTTTTTATTCTCTTTATTGAAATATCACATAATCATAACAAAGATGGTTACAATTTTTTCCCTTTTGTACAATCTGTTTTTCTATTCAGTACAGCTCGCCCATCGAACATAGGAACAAACATAGAACCTGAGGTGTTTTTTCATTTTTGTCAAGAGTAAAGGGGGTTGTTTGAAATGAAATAGACAAAGTTTCAAAAATAATTGAAAATTGATTCAATTAGATAAAGGAAGGGCACCTTGAAGAAATGTACGTTTTCCATAAATTCCAATTGTCTTCAAATTTTGATTTCTGTAACCTGATGGAGAAAGTAATTCTTTCCATTATGAATATTTTGTAGATGATACCATACCAGTCCTCGATGGATGGGCTGCCTGGTTTTAGCCGTTTCTTGGTGATTGCTTTCCTGGCTGCTACACTCAATATTCCAAATAAATATTTAGTCTTTGTGTTTGTCGATATTGAGTGTGATATTCCGAAAAAAAGTTCCTCCCAGTTAAAATCAGTTTTTGATCCAAATATAACTCTTAGTTCTGTGCACATTTTTTGCCAGAATACAGATACAACTGGGCAACCCCAAAAAGGTGAAAATGATGGGCTTCCTCTGAGCCACATTTCCTCCAGCAGCTGGATGAGCCTGACTGATGGGAACTCTGGGCTGGTGTAATAAAGTACCTACAGAGATTTTTCCAGGCAAAGATTCTCCATGAGGTTGAGTTTGATATCTTCCACTGAAACTCACAATATTTAAGCCATGTTTGTTCAGGAATAGTCTTGTTTGTCTCTTTGTCCCACCTTTGTTTGATATACATTGTGTTTGTCAATTTTGTTTCCTGTAATCCATTATACAGCCTTGAAATGGTTTTGAGTCCAGAATTCTTTGCGTACGCACAAACAAAAACTTTCAATAATTCATTATCAAACACTTGCTGGACATTTGGGATTAAGTTATTTATATGGTGTCTTACTTGAAGGAATCTATAAAAATCCCTGTCCTTTAATCCAAACTGTCCTTTTAGAGATTGAAAGTCACTCAAAATGCCCTGTGTGAAAAAAGTACAGTATGATGTGAGACCTTGTTCAGCCCATTTCTTAAAAGTCACATCTTGCTTATTTGGGGTAAAGTCTGGATCATACGGGCACCACCTTAGGATCTTAATGTCCTCAAGCCAGCCTCTTTTAGAGGGGTCATTACTTTAATTTGTCAGTCAGCTGGTTCCTTGTGATTTCAGCATTTCCATTAGATAATTAATTCATTATTAGGAAGAGATCAAAGTTCAGCACCTGGCAGACAGTAAGCAGTGTTTGTTTCTGTTACCTGTGACTCGCCGCTGTCGCTCTCATCTGCAGTGAAAGGCCGAACCCTGAGGTACACCTGCAGGTTCTCCGTCTGTGACTGCACCTTCACAATCAGATTCATCATCATCGTCATCATCATCATCATCACCTCCTCTCCAAGGTCACAGGAGGACTCCAGCTCTTACCTGCGCCGCTGCAGCATCCAGTTCACCCAGCAGGTTCCTCCTGAGGTCCGCCACCTCCACCGGTCCTGTTCTCGTTGGGATCCCAGGAAAACATGACTCCATCATCTCTGCCAACAATCACAGCCTGGAAACCGCTGACCTTTGGGGGAGGATTCAGTTCACAGAAACACTCAGAAAACTGAGCCCTGGAGATAAACACCAGGCTGTTTGACACGCCGATCTGAGCACTGAGCCCAGCTGATGATTTCACCTCATCTGATGTTGAGCTCGGAGCTGTCAGATGAGAGTTTAAATACTAAATCTTTAAAATGAGACGGAACTAAAGTGAAGTTTGGTTTGGGTATTTAAATTAGTTCTGATTAACCTGAGCAAAAGGTCCAAAAAACAACCAAACTTTCCCAGCAGCTACAAAAAGCTGATAAATCCGATAATTATTAAAACAGAGAAGAAAAATAACCCTTAAAGAAACGTTATGATCCACCGCTCTCTGTTGTTAGCATTAGCTACTTTACGCTAAGTTAATCTTGCAAAGCTGTTTCAAACGTCCTCGATGAACGAAAAGCGCAGATTTAACGCATGAGTTACTTACATACAATCGATGCTGAGGGAACAATGAAGGTTTCCTGCCATAAATCTCTAAATTTAACATAAGAAGCGCAGATAGATGCAGCTAACCTTCAGTTCGGCTGTTGCAAACAATACCGCGATCTCATTTAAACTGCGACCAACCGACCAATCGCAGAAGGAAACGTCACTCCACTCCCTAAACTGACGTCTCGCGAGATAAGAGTCCCTGCACGTTGTCTGTGTTTTTATTGCCTTGTATTGTTGTTTTTTTTTCTCTCCTAGTGGTGGCATTTTATGTATGACCAGCTCTACCATATTTAAAATTAAATACAGAAATAAATAAATGCGCAATCAATAAATAAGCAGACAATTAATTGCCCCCAAAAATACAATAAACAAATAAATGTAGGTAGAAATTAAATTATAATAATGAGAATAAAACAGACAAAAATATTATAACATGCACATAAATAAATACTTAAAAAATAAGCAATTAATAAAGTTGAAGATTATAAGGGACAATAAATAAATAAGGTAATTATTACAAAGGCAAATAAATAAAAAAGTTAATTAAAACAGATTTTTATGTCTTTATGTCTCACTATAATTAAATTTCTATCAACATTTATTTGTTTATTGTATTTTTGCAATTCATTGCATGCTTATTTATTTATTTATTTTTAAAACTGGTAGAGCTGTTCCTACGTAGTATTTTACCTTTCACTGTGCAGCTTTATTTTTACGTTATTTCCTCCCTTGGTCTTCTCTCTCACCCACTGTGGGACATTAAAGCATAGCTGATCTTATTTTATGGTCTCGAGGGAAACCAGGTTGACATAAGGTTTAGTAAAGACAAAATGCTGTAGATTTAAACGCTAAAATTAGGTTGACAGAAAAAGTGTTTAGATTAAATAGGAAAAACTGTGTAATTAGGAAGGGAAAGTTACATATTTTATTAATATTCTAAAGTAAATAGTTTAATATTATAAGTGTGATAGAATATTAAAATAAGATATCAAGGAAACAGAAAAACAGATTTTAATAAATATTCACAGAGATCTTCATCGTGAAAATAATCACAATGATAATAATGGATGTCATTATTCTGGCTGTTTATACCAACAGGTTTATTTGATGGAGGGTTTTGTTTCTGTTTATGTTTAGATTAATTTAGTTAGTTTGAAAATTGGTGTTTGGTTTGGTTTATGTCAACTAGTCTCTTTTGTGTTTATTTGTCTGATTGATTTATTGCTGTTTGTCAAAATTGTCTGAAATAAATTCTTATTCATGCATTTAAATAATGCATTATGTTAAAAAATAATTAAGTTATGGGATTAAGTTTTGTTGATAATTGTACGATTTTGAAAAACCCTTGAGTTTTAAACCAGACGTAATGATGGTAGTTCAGCCAACTAGAGGGCAGCAGTAATGCAACTAACAGTTATTTGGATCATTGCAATAATAATTATACAATAAGTGTAGGACCCAATTATTTTTTGTTAATAATTAACAAAGTTTCTTATTTTTGTGGACAATCTAGTTTATTCTACTTTATTGTTTGATATATGTTTTGAAATGTTCTTTTTTGGTTATTTGTTTCTGATTAATTTGGGTGAATTATTTTTATAAATAGGCTGTCCAAGGTAGGACCAGCATGCATCTGGGTGGGGGTATGGCTTTTAACCAACGCAAGAGAAGCATGGAGGAAATGTTTGTCCTTTTCTGTTTGCTTGCCTGAGTAGAAATAAACTAAGAAAACTGAAGACATTTGCCTGCTTAAAATACTTGTCCATGGTGCATCTGTGGCCTTTGTGGGTTTCTTTTTTTTTTGTATGTGTGTGTGTCATCAAAGCTAAGCCACAACACAGAATAAATTGGGCATAATTGAGGCAACTCATTAAACAAACTTTCTTCTTATCAATCGTTTTTTCTAAGGAAGTATCTAAGAAGAATTTTTTGGTTTTTTCCCCCCTTTATTTTTGTTTTGTTTATAAATATGTCCTCCTGAGCTTCACTCTCCATCCAGTAGGGGGCGGTATTACGCACCAAAACGCTTTTTCCAACCCCAATTATACCTCAACGGAGGGGAAGAGGAAGTTACAGGCGGATTTTTAAGGATTAGAGCCGTAAAGGCAACGAGAAGATTAGCATTAATCTTCTGGTTAGATCTAACGGATCCTCTGAGTCTGTTTTAGGCGTTTTTATTCGGGGAAAAAGAGGAAAAGGTTCCGCGGAAACGAGAAGAAACGGACCGCGAGGCGCTGACTGCGGTCGCCTTGGCAACAGTGAGGCGTCTGTTAGCAGTGGACAAGATGGCGGCGAAGCAGATCCACAGCGGAGGATTTCTGCTGCTCTAGCTGCCTTTTTACCGCCCCGAAAGCCTTCAGAGGTATGCTAGCCTCCACCTCACCTCCAGGAAAATTAAATGGCGTCAAATTTATTTAAGATTTAAAAAGTTTACGCTTTTCTAACAGAATAAAACCAGTTCAGAATCAGAAATACGAGGGGTAAATTTCTTAATACTTAATTATATAGTAGATGGAGGTGAGCGGGTTCTGTTTATAACCAAGGACAGTAAAGTTTAACAGCTTTTCTAATATTTCTATTGTTTTTTTTTTTTTAGCAGCTGGCTCCTAAAGGGTCTGATAAAGTCCTGCTTAGTAAAACTGGAGATAAATCTGCTCACAGGTTCTCACTTCTTTAAGAAAAATAAATGACATTATCAGCGTTAATCTGTTGTTTTAAACCGACATAACTTAATAACTCCCCAGATAACACATCTCAAATAAAATGGATATAAAATAATGTTTCAAACCTGAAGATGGTGGAGTTTTCCTCCATGTTTGTCTCCGCCTTGATGTCCCATCCTGAACAGCAGCTACTTCCTGCTCAGAAACCAATTATTGTTTCATCAGATGTGGTTTAATTAGGGATGGTTAATGAATTATCAGGAGGACAAACTGT